AAACAATTTTTTTGTAAATTTGTTCATGTAAATACTCTATGCTGTTTCTCTGTTTACCTTCGGTATATCTATGACTGTATACTGTTTGCTTGTATTGCCTTTTTTATTAACCCCTCCCCCCCCCATCTCCCACTTCACAAAAATCTTGTTATTTCTTAATATTTTTTTTTTTTTTTTTTTTTTTAATAATTAAAAAAAAATTAATAAAAAATAAAAAAAAAATGACGCCGTTAATATTGATTTGCGTTAACGCGTTAATAACGCGATATTTTGGACAGCACTAATAAATATGTAACCATACACACACACACAAATACACAAATATATTTATATATATATACATATACACACATACACATATACATACATACACATACACACATATATATACATACATATATCCACACATACATATACACATATACATATACATACACATACACATATATATACATACATACACACATTATATATGTTTCTTTGAAACAAATGTGTCACAGTGGCCAACGCGCACCGGTAAGTTCGACACTGCCATCTCCCACCAGGCCCAGGCGCACCAAGCAAACCCACAGCAGCAGACCATCCGCACAGGAGAGAGCGAGGCCAACACTCACCACAGCCTTCCAACAGCTTCATGAGCCACAATCAACAGTTTTGTTTTACCTCAACACAATACAACATATTTTCACAATATCTCCTTTAGTAGAGAGCGCAAAATAAATTGTATTGATTTCCTTTTCAATTTATTTTCATTTATTCAATTTTGATTTTCTTAATTTATTAGATTAACAATCTCACTCCTTGACTTTAAGTAGAGCAGATTATCACCCGTGTGACTGCCTCACTCTACCTTTAGACAAAGGGAGCTTTTAGTTTTGTTTTTGTTTTAATTGCAATTCAGAATGAGAGAAAGCACTCTCACCAGACCGTCAAAGAACGCTACCGTGAGGCCGGCCAGTCTCCTCCACACCTCAAGTCCCACCATAGTACTCACCTACCACGCCAAAGGCCCAGCCAGAGAGACAGCACCTACACCCACCACTGCAACATCAGCCCCTAAAACACATCTATCCCAAAGCCCAAGCTGGTATTTTAGAGTCAACCCCTACAGTAATAATAACAATACTAGATTTTTATGACATTTCCATTCCATTTATGGAAATTTCATTCCACTTCACGATTGTGTCCCACTTGTTGTTGATTTTTGACAAAAAACAATATTTTTATATCTTCATGTTTGAAGCCTGAAATGTGGCGAAATGTTGAAAGGTTCAAGGGGGCCGAATACTTTCGCAAAGCACTGTATATCTGAGTGTATTTGATGGCATTAAAATAATAGTTTCCAATGAAACAAAGAGGTTTAGCCTTATTTCATTTTCGCCATCTCCTCCGTCTCAAACAAGCAGTGACACAAGGGCCATTGTTCGACACAACTTCTTCCATTGCATGTCTTATTCTAAAACAGTCAACATATACTCAAGACTCTATCCTTTCTGAATTATTTCTTTATACCAATCAAAATCACTACCACAACCTCATAACAATTGGCCACATTGAAAATATGATGAGCAAGATAACAAACAATGGACTTAGACTGCTGCCCCTGTGACCTGGCAACAAATAAATGAATGGATGAGGGAGGAACCTGAAAAATTGAAACGTGCTTTTGGAAAGTTTCTTGGTAGGTCTCTGAGATGTTCAATGCATAGTCAATATTTTGTCTAAACTAACTCTGCTTTGACCTGTTCTACAAGTTCACCCCTGACCTCTCTGATGGTTCCTTGGACTTCATTATGACGATAGTTACCAATTTTCAGAGACCATCACAGAGTTTAGATTACACTATGGTGCACTCTACTTAATCGGTTTTATATAGCGCTTTTTTGGACACTCAAAGACGCTTTACATGTCATTATTCATTCACTCCATACACGGTGGTGATAAACTACTACTGTAGCCACAGCTGCCCTGGGGCACATTGACAGAAGCGAGGCAACCAGTAAGTGCCATCGGCCCCTCCGATCACCACCAACCATTCACTATTATACTTAATAGTTAGCTAATATTATAAATGTATCATTTGTCTTCACTTATTTATTTATTTATGGACATTTTATTGGAGGATACACCCCATGAGATGTATCATCTCGTTTTCGTGGGGGGTCCTCATGATCATATCCAAAGAACATAGGATAGCAGAGTAGATACAGTCAAGTAAAAATAGAACAAAAACAAAACAATTATAACAACAATAAAAAAATAATACAGTAATAATAATAATAATACAACAAATTAAAGTAAAAATTATAATACTACAAATACTTAACACACACTCACACACACCACTCATGCCACACACTCACACAAGCTCTCACTATTCGCCTACCCACTCTTTACTACTGTATCTTACAGACAGTCATAAGATACAGTAGTTATCTGAAAGACACAATTGTCTGTGTCTTTCACAAATACCATAATATCTTTATTATTTATTAATAATATTTTCCAGCTACTGTAAGTTGTATTCATCTGTTACAATTTATGCACAAATAGACTTCCCATTTTTAGTTCAAAGGGCTGCCTCATTTTGGCTGAAATTGAGGCAGCCCTGATCGCACCCTGATTGAGTGCGATCCCAATACTTTCTCACTTCAGACCCCTATTACAACAACATATCATCAATAGGGTCAAACTAACCTGTCTCAGCTCACGTTTCCTATTAGTGGGTGAACATTAACTTGGTTAAAAAAAATCTGCTTCACAATGATAGGAAGAGCTGTCCTCGAAGGATTACTTACAAAATATAATCCTTTGCTTCTTGTCCCATTTCTGAGATTTAAAAAAAGAATTGTGTAAAAATGTACCCATAGCTTTTTGGGTTACACTGCAAAAGAAAAATAAGTGAAAATGTTATCAAATTTGTCAATATGTGTCTTAATTTGAGCACATTTTGACTGCCTTAAAACATTTGCCAATGGGACAAGCACAATTATCTTGTTTTAAAAAGACACAAGAAATATCTCCCTTGGAATGAGAAAATAGAGCAACATTTCTTGAAAAAAGACAAAGCGGCTTCTCTCATTGGCAAATCTTGTTCAAAGACAGAAACCATGCGATCATCGTGTATCATTGTTTGCCGTAAATGTGTAAGTTACAAAAAACAAACCCATACGAAACTCCCTGGAGCAGGTAATGATTAGCTTATAATGGTGAGAAGAGAGTGCTCCAATTCAGTACCTGTATGTGGATGAGCGAATAGCCTACAGACATGTGTCATACTCAGCTCCCACTAACAGCCCGTTAACAAGCATCCCACACACCTCTGCTTCTCCTGTCACAGCCCACTGCCACCCTCTGCATCAGCCCAGGCCTGCATCACCACACACGGGGATAGAGGCTGCACAGAACGGGTCAGAGGGAATAGGGGGTCAGGGAGGTGCCTTTAGGCTCCCAGACACCAGGGAGCCGTCCACTTTGTTATTCATCCATCACTCAGGAATCAAACAGGGCGAGTTAGAAGCCTCTAGAAAAATATGAGTCAACGCCTGATTGGCAGTCAGGCGAATCAGGCGAAAACAAAAGCAGCAGCACTGAAGACGTGGAATTGCCGTATAACAGAGGCAGGTGTGTGTGTGTGCGTGCGCATGTGCGTGTGCATGTGTGTGTGTGTGTGTGTGTGTGTGTGTATGTGCGTGTGTGTGTGTGTGTGTGTGTGTGTGTGTGTGTGTGTGTGTGTGTGTGTGTGTGTGTGTGTGTGTGTGTGTGTGTGTGTGTGAAATACTGTATGGCCACAACGTTGGGCTCTCACAAAGCAGTGTATCAGTGAAGTACCCTGTTTTTATTAAGTAAAGTATAATTATATCACGAGGACTCCCAGAATCCTGAAACTGCTTGAACTCCCAGCACAGTCATTTTGACAGCTCCCATTGAAGTAAATTTACTGAAAAAAATCCCCCCAAAAATGTTGTTTTTCACTGCTTTTATTAAAATTAGGAATTCATATGGCCTTCATCTTTAATACATGTTAAAACTGGTTAATTTAAATGAAATACAGCAAAACTAAATGATAACTGGTGCAAGTAAAGAGTGTGTTGCTATGGTAACTCGCTCTTGCTCCGAGCTGAGATTGCTCTGAACCAGTCTAGGACCAGTCTAGGACCAGTCTAGGACCAGTCTAAGACCAGTCGAAGACCAGTCTAGGATTAAGATAATTTCATATTTAATAATTTCAACAAAATGACATTGAAATAAAACACATTCAGATACAAAAAAAAAGTTTTGAAAACCAAAAACATAAATGAGTGGAGTAATTAGACTTTCAAATTGAAAAGCCGTCACATTGACTGCTCTGGGAGTTCTGCACTTAACATAATGGAGATAAGATAACACCCTATAACACACTCTTATCATTAGCTTCATATGACTCCAGAACAGACAATGTCTCCGTTGGCTCATATAAGCGTAAGAACCAGATATGAACCAACAGTAGGTATTCTTGACTCGAACAAACAGAAAGATCTTTGACGTTCTTAAAGATATGTTAAGGAACCATCTTTATTGGTTGTACATTAAACAGATTTCCACGCAAGTATTTTTCTTGTGGCCGCATATCAACTGACAAAACAGACATCATACTCCTATTAAACACATACAAACAATAAAATATCCATCCCATAACCTCATGCACCAAGTCACCACAGAGGAAAAACAGACAGACTCATCTAGATATAACAAAAAAACATACAATGGAAAAAGAAGTATCTGATTGAAAATGTACATCAGACTTAAAATGTCTGCACATCTTTCAATTTATTTTCTTTTTCTCATGGGACATTTCAGAAAAGACAATATCCATATCTGCAGCCGTTCAACATGCAACTTCTCCAACAACTATAGTGTTCGGTTCTTCTCGGTAGGATTTTCACATTCTTTTTTATTAGTGTAGAGCAGCGCCGCCCCATGGAAGGTCCGGTCTGACTGGACCTGATGGCAGTTCAGGTCTAGGGAGATGGAGGAGTCTTCAAGGAATTACACGATCCTCCCTGGCTGCTGCTTGTTCCCTGGTACTGGGACAGACAGAATCACAATCAGAATCAGAATTCTTTTATTGCCATGTGAGTAGCAAAAAAATAAAACTAGGAAATTGCTTTGGCTCTCGGTGCAAACAAATTAAAGTAGAGAGTAGAATAAGGCATGCATAAATACAAAACATCTATATACAATGATGGAAACATTGACAGACAATGAAGTCAAATAAGAGATCATTTTTAAGTAGTTGACGACATTTTTTGGACCTTTTTAGCTTTTGTTGCCAGAATTGTACTGTCTGCGATACAATTGTAGTATTTAAGCACTCATTACAAATGAAAACCACCTGCATGGGTTAAACAAGAACTGATACAAACTCTGTATACAGAAAGAAAAACCTGTGTATGCCCTTAGAGCAGTGGTTCTTAACCGAGTTGGAGGTACCAGACCCGACCAGTTTCATTTGAGCATTCACCAAACCCCTCGATTGAAAAATGTCACCCTGGAAAGTGCCACTCTCAAGTCATTTTCACAGCAAAGTCTGTTCCTTTTCTTCATTTTTATGTCCAGCATCCTCAAAAAGTATTGCTCGCAAAGATATGTTTTAACAAATTCTATTAAAAAAGTCATTGGTTTCTTAGCAATGACGGGACATGTGAAGTCCCGTAGAGCTCTGAGGCCGAGACTGTTTTAAGTGCATTGAGCCAATGAACCGCTTTGACACACCGACACAGTTGATTCAAAGCAAAGCGGTGATGCAGAGTCAGAGACACTGACACGTTTGTTACGGGTATTTTGGTACACGCTCCAACACAGTGTTGCAAAGCTGTCTACTTCAGGAAGAGCGACATAATCTCCGGATCGCTGGAATTGTTTGCCTGTCACTAGATAATTTGCGTGTGTCTTTACCTCTGCAGCGCGGGCTCTACTGAACGCTTGAGAACACCTTAGGGTTCGATTGAATCCAGGTGAAGAAGCACTGGCTTTGAGTGTCAATTGGTGTCAGTGGTGGGACAGCGCTCATTATTCGTTTGAGAGGTCTGTTATCAAGAAATAATGACAGGTAGTTCACATTGGAGAGACCCATGAGGAAAATGCCGTTAGACTTAGATTTAAGCATGTTTATTGATTGAGCATGTTTGGCGCCCTAGGCCCGGGAGGGATGCTGTTGAGCACGGCGCTTGCTCGCGTGCATAATCCCCCCCGGGGCCTAGGCACTGGTGGCGGCAGAGGCAGTAGGCAAGCACGCTTTGGTGAGAAAAGGAGGAGGTGGGGCGGCGGAGGCTTGCAGACTTCAGAAGACCGGGAAAGGGGGAGTCTCCGGCTTTTAACTTGCTGTCCTGGTGGTTATTGGTTGGCTGGATGTGGGCGTTGCTGGTCTGATGAGCCGAGGAAGAGCAGCCTGTAGATCTGGGCAAGCAGCAGCCGGGTCTACCACAGTGAACTTTCGCGAAAGCTCCATAACAATTTGAAATTACATTTAAATCAATGGAGCGTTCTGCTGCTGCTGTGAAGAGCCGTATAATAAAACGTCATATTTAAGGTTAACTACAAAAGGATTTAACCCAGGATGTTTAACACACCAGTTTGTGCTGTGTTCTCTGCTTTCATTTAAATAGATGTGGGTGCTATATATGTTTGTTTTAATTAATATAAGTAGAGAGAGAGAGAGAGAGAGAGAGAGAGAGGCATTACTGTATATAATTAAAGCCCCTTTATGTAGTTTGTTTTAAGTGGCAATTAAAACATATTTCAGATATTCAAAATTTCAGTGTATTGTGTTGTGTATTTCCTTTACTCTAAATGAGATACAGTATTGACATTTGACTAGCAGGCACAGATGAGGATAAGCTCTGGATGAACAAAGCAGACACTTAAAAGCACTTGCGAAGGGCGTTACGATCTTAACGAAAACATCTCACTGAAGACGACTTTGTAATCGCAGCATATGATGTGCAACACAGCTGTCTGACACCAAGAATGTACTAACCCACTCTGCACTTGTTTATTTGACAGGGCTTCTGGTTTATGATGGCACTGACAGCAGCACAACAGCAAAAGTAACATTGTTCCCCTTTATATCATCTGTTGTCTGAAATGTCTCACAGGAGTCTACGTTCCTCTGCTTCTCTGCTCTCCATTCACAAAGACGTTTCCCCACACCTCAGCTCGCTCACAAATGACTGTTCTGGTCTAACAAAGTGCACTCTGAATTCAGCTCAGACCTATTCGTCAATTTTGTTTTTGGCTGATATGATACTTTTGGGATAATAAAGGCATCATTCTAGTCAATATTTAGTTTGTTTGCCTTGTTATTTACAACAAGGTATTTCAGATGTATGCCACAGACTTGAGCTGGCTCTCAAAGTCACCCATTCAAAACACAAAACAGAATGAAAGAAATATGGTTTCACAGCTGCAACGTCATTCTCTTTTCTATTATTTTAAGATGATAAAATACAGTTACACGTTTTGCCCCAGATTCACTTACCTCCACCAGGGGGTGCCAGTGAGCGACTGGTTTGCGGGGATATGTGAGCATTTCATTCCAGTGGTTTCTGCCGAGGTTATCTGCATCGTTGCCAATCCGACACACTCCGATTACTTCATTATGGCCCACTCTGTTTGTGCCAGACAGACAGACAGAATGTGCCCGTGAAAACAACGCTTTTGAGAAAACCATTATGTTTTCTCATGAATAAAATGCATGCAGTTTAATTAAATCTTAGTGTTTCTTGGATTTATAACCCGTGTAAAAGGTGCAGGCAGAGTAATAAAAATAGATGTTACCGGTCATAGTCCATCACTGCGACCAGAAGGCTGATTTGCTCAATGCTTTCTGGAGGCACATCAAAGACAATGGCCTCATTATAAATGGGATTCAGTGTGTTTCTCTTGGTCGACGTCTTCCTCTTCTTCAGTCGCCGGCCGTCGCACATTAGAGAAACCTTCACATAGGGATCTGTGAATGTGGGACAGGGAGATGAGAGGCTACGGCTCATATATATTCATGATTACTGCTCTAAAGCCCAGTGTTTACATGCAGTCACAGTTTCTAATTACCAGAAGCACCAGTGATGTCCATAGCCTTGAGATTACGGGCCTTTATCATGGTAATGGTGAGTCTGCCTGCTGTCGGCAGGTAGCAGAGAGAGAACATCAGGTCCCCAAGATCCACATTGTCCTGAAATAAATTTAAAACAAAATGTCTTAATAATTAATATACTAAACATTAACACATCATAGTAGCAATTTTGTCATACATTTTACCAAGAAACAAGTTTTAAATAGAACAGCAACATTCTTATGAACTTTTGACTATTGTAATTGAACATCTATTTGCAGTTTTTACCTTTTCAAAAATCATTATAGCCATTTAGCAAATCACACACACAACACAGAACGTTAGTGCTCCGACACAGTATAATGCAATCCTTACAAACGAACATTATGAACAACATCAACCACGTACACATACTTTCACAGACACAGAATCTGTCCTTTTCCTTTGACGCCTGATCTCTGGTCTCAAAGTCAGAACCTTTTCTATTAAAGCCTCCAGCTGCCTCCACACCTGCACGTGTCAGAGAGACAGAGCAGAGAGGCAGCAGCTCTCTTATCACAGGCTCTTAAAATAAATTCACTACGGTACCAAAGCATACTCTTACAACCGCACCTTAAGAGCAAGCAAATTATCAAGTTCGATGGTTGACTGTCTGGAGTCACCATTTTCTGTTTTCTCCAACATAATCAAAACGCACAATGCAAGGGTTGTCGTATATGTTTTAGAGATGAGAAAATCAAAGGTATGTTATGTCTTTAACCCTTTATCACTCCAGACTAATTTATTCAAAACCCTAATCTAATTCCAGAATGGCCAAGATTGTCTTTGGTGAATTTAAAGGACTGTAGAACTGGTCTGTGTTGGACTCTGACTGACTGTAGAATGACCATCTCTTGTTTTTTATGATCTTTCCACAAATGAGGAAACTTTCAAGGAAAATTGGATTTCGGGACCTGTGCCAGAACAAAAGCTTTTACATGTATAATCCTTAATATATAAGCGTTGTATTTTTTGTATCTATGAATTAGAAGTTCAAACTGATCCTGATTCATCCCAGAATCTCCAGCTTTATATTGCTCTTTCACACTTTGAGGATTTTTTTGATACATTTAACCGCTTCATTGGATCAACTAAATAAAAAAACCTGATTACAGAAAGAAGTAATAAAGAAATATTGATTATTTTCACAGAAGCTTTACAGCGGGCATTATCCCTCTCACTCCACATGAAGGAGGCGGGGTGGCCATACAAGAACTGCATGTCAGGCTTTTGTGTGGAAAAGTCCAAACAGAAAGGCCCCGTCTGGAACCCAGGACCTTCTCACTGCGTAACACAAGTACCAAACACAGCGCCACTGTGCCGCCCAAACGTGTCATGTAACAAATGCTACGCTATGACACATTTGTATCCACTTAATTCCGTAATTTTTTTGAGTTTAAAAGGACGGGTTTCAGTTTTTGCGCCAGTGTCATATACTTGAACCAAAGCATCGACTGAAGAAGCTAAGCAAGCGAATACTTTTAAATACTTATAAAGTGCACATTTACAGTCACAGTGATTTAGTTAAAGCCTGTCAGTAAGATGGAGAAGAGCAACAACATGAATATAATTGTTCAGCAGCTTCTGAGGTTCAGATTTGAAACCGTTATAATTACAATTGATTGACCGTGGGGTAAACAATTGGGCGTTAATATATTTAAGATTATAATTGACATTGTAGTCGTCACTTTACCCCTTATTTTTTCTCCCTGATTGACAGATGGATGAGTGGGCAAGCTCATTACAATAAAAAGGCTGCAGTACATATGCATAGACTGTGGGAAGAAGAGGAACGAAAGGCATGGGCAACAAATAATTACATTTGATATGGGTTACATTAAGTCATTTTACTGTGTCACCCCCTACATAGTAGAGGATAAAGGCAAGTAAGTATAGTACAGTATATATGTGTACGGGAAGTTTTATTTTGGCTGTTTAAAGCTACTGATCAGTTATAGTCAGAAGTTTGAACAGAAAGAAGGATTAGGGATTAAAGTAAGAAGGAAACACACCTTTTCACCAAGGTGTGTTTGTGTTTGTCTGATATGAAGATATGGGCAGATTGTTACAACATTTTGAAACCATTTTTGAGTTGAATTTAGTTGTCTTAATACTGACATACTTTGTGCGACATGAGCAAGAATCTCCAACACACACTTTAATGTCAGAGTTGGTAGTCCGAGGCTCATGCCATTAGGACCATTAATACGGATTTAGTTTTCCCTAAAGAGAGGCACACATGTTCCTGTCCACTATGATGTTATTCTGCTGCATAGTTTATAGACCACTTCACTCGTTATAATCACACATGTGCTCTTTCTGAGGGAGAAATGTGCATAAAATCAGAGATGAAAACATCCTTATGAAGCTGAATGCGCAGGTTCAGACTGAAAGACCGAGTGCCTGCCAGCCTCGAGCCTCAGCCAATCACACAGCTCTGCCAGCCTCGAACCTCAGCCAATCACACAGCTCTGCCAGCCTCGAGCCTCAGCCAATCACACAGCCAGGCCAGCCTCCTGCCAACCCTCTCACAGCAAAGCGGGCAGTTTAAAAGGCAGCCACTTCCTGACAAGCAACGCATTCTGAGGCTCTTAAACACCCACCAGTTCCCCAGCACCCCCTCTGGCTCTAGGCTCCCGCTCCGGCTCCTGCTCCGCCTACGCCCCATTCACACCATACTCTAGCCACCACCAGTGATTGACCCCGGGGGATCTGAGATCATCTTCAGCTGCAATCGATCTCATTGCTTCAAGTGTCACTGCCGGGGTCAATGCACCAAACAAATAAATAATTTTAATGTATCAATTGTGTCTTCGGTCTCTTTAGATTGAACTACACTTATGAGATTTGTCTTACAGCCATTTCTTCAGAATATTCAAAAACATATTTTTGGACAAAATTTCAAGCAAAATGACACAGAATGACATTCAAAGTTAGAATGTTCTCTCTCCTGCAATCACTGAAAGTTACTTTTTATCTGCAAAACTACAATCAGAGATGGTTCATCTTTTGACTACAATCGTTTTTTTTTTTAAAGAAGGGACAGCTCAACACTTAAATGGCTTAGAAGTGATGTCATGGCAGGATCGACCAGATGTCATGGCACGATGGACTGTATCTGTGTTTGGTATTGACACTACACCAGATCAAACATGAGCAATAAACAGCTTCTCTGTCCTATAGTCTGTGGGTGGCAAGAACCTTTGAGGGAGTGCTGTTTAATGAAAAACAACTGGTCTGGATAGTACTTGGATATAGCATGACACTGGAGAGATTGGTTTTATCGGAGTTGGAGACTTACCGAGCTCATATATTGGACATCGCGGCACAGTTTGGTCTCCCTGGGGAAATCAGCAAGATCCAAGAAGTTGTCCACCATCACTTGACCAATAATGTCATGACGTGAGAAGCGGTCAAAGTCGTAGACCGTAAAGTGTAGCTTGCGTGTTGGAAGCTCAGAATATGCCACCGGGAACAAGAAGACTTCATCAAATACTGGATTCAGTGTTTTTCTGTGGACTTTTGTTTGGTGCTTGGTTTTCCGGTCCGGGAGCAGGTAGATTTTTACATAAGGATCGGAAGTACCAGAGAAGTCCTTTGCAGGAAGATCCTCAGCTTTATGAATTTTAACAATTAGCTGTTCCAGGTCACAGTCAAATTTAAGAATAAAATGGAGTCGTCCACAGCTGCTGCCTCTGCGGCTACCGTCGTCACCCTCCAGGGAGCGCTGTTTGTACAGTTCAGGCTTCAGGCGCCCCAAACCTAGACCCATCCCTGTGAGGGAGTCCTGCCGCTGGAACTGGGCCACATTAAAGTCTGGGTTGGACAGGTTCATGTGTCTTCGGATGGAGCCTTGTCTGTAAATGAGAAAAAAATATATAGATATAAATACTTCTTCAGAACCATTACTTTTGCTTTAGAGGGCCAAAAACATGTCCATGACGTCATATCTGAGGATTTGTCAGAGCATACAGAGACGTTTAGAGAGACAGAGACTTTAGAGGAAAGTCACACATGTTTGTGCTGAATTGTTCCGGAAGTTCCTGATATTGTGTGACTGACGCTAAAAACAACTCCAGGTCTGTTTTTGATGAGTTGATGTCGGAACATGATCCAAATCTATGTTGCATGATATATTTTCCTAAAATGCATTTGATTTATATATTCAGGACTTGCACAGATGACCTGGCCTGTGAACCAACACGTGAAAATGACAGGACTCCACTGACCTTAGTCTTTGTCCTGTTTGTTTTTTTTTAAATATATTTTTATTTATGGGTTCTTTTTATGGCTCAATACAACCAACTAAAGTAAAACTTTTGAATGATGTTATACCAGAAAATCTTAATTGTTGCATTTAAAAATTTTTTTAAATCTGAAGTAAATTATGAAAAGTAGATTACCCATTTGAGGATGGCTCAGTGGTCTGCCGCTGTATTCGTGGTGTGGTGTGGACGCCATTCTCCCTGGTCTTACATTCCACGTCCAGTGGTATGTCTGGAGATGTGTGGCTGATCTTCATGGCAACTTCAGGAGGGGCTTTGACCTCAGGAGGGGGTGACATTGGGGACATCGGGGCCTCCACAGACACCACTGATGCCACTGGAGTGGGCTCTGGAGCCGTGGAGCAGTGAGAGGACTTACGGCGGTCGTGTGCTGGCGGGTCGACTGCCGTGTAGACTGGCTGCCTCGGGGCAAGCTGGGGGGGCAGAGGGCTCAGGGTGGGGATGAGGTGTCCTGTGGCGTCTTTGATGGTGGGGGACAGAGCACGCTCCCTCCACGGGATCCAGCACAACTTCCATGATACAAAGAGAGAGACTCCAAACAGGGCTAGACCGCAGGCTGTAACCACCAGAGACAGCAGGCTCACCGACACATCTGAGGAAAGAATACTGTGTGTGAGTCAGAAACCACTGCACAAACTGTACTTTTCAACCACTTTAAACAGAAAATATAAATGAAAACAATTACTCCAATTATTGACAGTTAATTTCCTTGAAAATAAAATCTTAGAGTAGTTACAGTTTCAAGCTTTCAACATGTGTATGCAGAATAACTTCATTCAAATCTATTCATAAAGTGTGAATGGTATTTTAAGTACAAGCAAAAGAAGTAACATTTTAAAAAAGGAAGGTGTGGGAATTGCCTTTTTCTTATAGGAAACCCGTCTTACAGAAGAGGGGTGGCTATTTTAATATTAAGAAGGCAAAGGCAAGTTTATCTGTACTGTATATAACAATTCATACACAAGGCAACTCAAAGTGCTGGCAATGAGGGTAAATATGTAGTGGTCAAGGGGAGAATGGAGGAAACATCCATTTGCTTTTTTGCTAAATAATAAAGCACCACTGGGCTCAGACTGGTCTTCTTACAGACATGTATTTGATGACATCTGAAGGGGAGGGAATGATGATAGCGGGAGGTGATTTAAATCAAAGGTTAGATCCCCTATTGGATACTACAACAGTGGTTTCATTAAAAACTAGATTAGCCAAAAACATTGGGGATTTGATGGAGGAACTTGCTATTATTAATGTTCGGAGAGAGTTGCACCCTTTAACGAAGGACTTTACCTTTTCTTCTTCTCTGCATAAAATATATTCAAGTAATCGATTACTTTTTAATACAACGATAGATATAGGGTGGAATATTGTGAAATAGGGGTAATAGATCTATCTCATTATTTTCTAGAGCACATGACTCTACTTTTGAATTCTGAAAAATAGAGAACACTATGGCGGCTAATGACACTAATGCCAACCCGCTGAGAGGAAACATTAAAGAGGAATTGAGAATAGACATCCAGAGATTCTTGGAGGAGAATGATAATGGTGAAGCGTCCCCACACATACAGTACTATGGGATGCATGTAAGGCTGTATTAAGAGGAAAATGAATTGCCAAACCAGCATTCTTGAAAAAACAAAGGTAAAAGAAACTGGAAAAAACTAAAATTTGAATAAATTTACTATAGAAAAAACTATTATTTACAAAGCAAAGGTACTATGAGATAAAGGGGGGAGATCAACAAAGTCAGCTTCCAAGTTGAAAAAGGAACAGGCAATAAATAACATTTGTAAGATAAATAATCCAGGACTAAAGAAGAGAAATATAAAACTGAGGACATTCAGAAGTGTTTTGAATCATATTATACAAATTCATGTGTCAAATCAACCGTAGAAGATACCAACGGAGGAGCAGAATGAAACATTGATATCAGAGATTACAGACAAAGATATTAACTGCAATCTCAAAATTAAAAGCCAACAAGCAACCAGGAGCAGACGGATACATCTCAGAATGGTATAAGATATTTAGAGACATACTGGTTCCAATTTGACAAAAAACATTCAGTTGGGTGCTACAAAAAGGAGGATTGCCAGGCTCATGGCGGGAAGCCATTACATCAGTGATCCCAAAAGAAGGAAAGATGAGCTTGAATGTGCCAGTTACAGACCCATTAGTGTATTAAAACCGAGATAATAGATTGTTTACAGCAATATTGGCCCGCCGTATGAAAAATATCTAATAGCTTACTATGATCCATTAATATCTACAATAAAGTAGGATTTTAAGAGTTTAATCCCTTTCTTGTCAATTGCACAAAGAGTGGAGGTAATCGAAGTCAACATTCTACCAAGACTACTGTACCTGTTTCAGAATCTACTGTAGACATTTTAAAGAAAGAATTCAATGAGTGGGATACTTTTATTTCAAGATTTAATATAGAACAATGCAGCTGACTAAGGGCACGGGTGGGTTAGCCCTGCCCCGCTTAAGGAGATATTACCAGAAGCACAAATTAAAACTTTATTGAATGTGAGTAATCCCTCATATTCATATAGAATGATCTAAACAACAAATTATACAAACATATTAAAGGGCAAATCTTTCCTTGGTTAAATGTTTAGTTGAAAGAATTGTTTGAAATGCAAGATGCCGAAATGGATTGGGTTTGATTCCAATAAAAGAGATGAACAATTTAAAATATGGCAGGGACCCAAAATTTGTTGGGAATGGTTAAAAGATGGGGCAAGCTAAGGATTTGTTTGGGTTAAGAAACCAGGACAGATTTTTGCAATTGAAGCATTATATTCCACATGATACAAAGAGAGAAAGATTAGCCTGTTTATTAAGGCCGATCAATCCGAGCTAAATAAAAACATGACAAGGTACATCTGTTTTGGATTACAAAATCTAGAATGGAAGTTACACAATATATAAAAACGTAAATGGGAAATTGAAGCCAACATTAATTTGACACAGGAAGAATGGGATGAGACTAATGAGCAGGTGTGGAAAACGACCTCCACATTAATGTGGAGGGAGCAACTACTACTGTGGGAAAGTGCACATGAAACAAGTGCTTGAGAGGGCCATGGCGAGTGAAGAGTGAAGTGTGTCCGTAAGTTAAGCAGCAGGATCATCAGGATGGGCAAGAAGACGGGAACATAACTCCTGGGCATGAGCCACAGACTCAAATGTTCAATTTGGACATTTTAAAATGGGCTCCTGTTTCCAAACAGAGTCAGACGTCCAAAAAATCAGTCAGTCAAGTCTTGGGATTTGATCAACTGAATGTGAACTGACAGCAGGTGATGCATTAGTTTTCCCTACGATAAGACAAAACCTTTCAGACATAATTCCTTCATACACAAACGAAGTGTATTAGCACATGTCTGGACCAGCTGCTATATTCTAATAAACATGTCGCACAGATTTGAAGTCTTGATTGCAATAATGTATTTGGCTTAATGTGTTTACTTATAGGTCATGACAGGTAAATAAAGAGTCCTGATAGTGTCTCTCGCAGAGGGCGCTAGCTTCTTCTTTTCTACGGTTTAACAAACACAAGAAAAGAGGAGGGTGAGGGCCATTCATTTTAGCCTTTTATTGTTTTTTTCTGTTTCCTCCTACCTTTAGAAGATTAGTCAGTATTCTGATAGATGTGTAATCTTTTATCTGCCCTCCACTTGCATTATATTTTGTGCAGTCCATATTTCATCCCCCTGAATGATAACACAAGAAAAATTATGTGTTTTAGTCAAAGCCAGATGTACTTTTTTCTGTATCTTCAACATACCATTTGAATATAACCCCAAGTCTTGCTAAAGAAAGAAAGAGTTCCACAACATGAATCTATTTAGCACTTGAAGGAATGAATCAGTATACAACATGACACATTTCAGACTATATGCACAGATTCTAAATGGTCATGGTGAAAAGGGCATTGAAAACTCCTGAATTAAAAACTAAATCCAAGCTTAAGCTGGCAAGTGCAGGTCGTCAAGTACATGTGCATGGTATGGAAAAATGATGTGTCTATTCTCATCACAGTATTGCTGTCAACTATCGCACATCTGATGTTGACATTTCTGGAGTACAGGTAGACAACATCATGATAAGGTGCAGGTAAGAAGCTCACAGCCTCTTGCAACCATAGACAGTAAATATTAACGGAGGTAGTGACGCCTATTTCTTCCTTTGAATTTTGTATGCCACAGACATGGGCAGATTCCAAACGGCCACGGGCTGCCCCTCTCACAAGAAAATGTGGGAAAAAAGCGGGCACAGATGCTATTTATTAAACAAGTTAATTCAAAAGTCCACAGCGGCTAAACTAGGCTGGTCCACGCAAAAATCCTCTCAGCAATGACAGCATTTGGAACCATCTGGGCCAAGAGCCAGCTTTTGGACCGTCCTGTGAAGCCATTTTCGAGATATAAAACGGAAATAAGGCAGAATACAAATGCATTGGGTAATTCTGTTTCCAGGTACACCACCACCACCAAGGACTGAGATTGCAAACATGTCAGCGCACATGCTCATGGACCTTTTGAGCTGAGACCCACCCCCCATTGGTTGAAACCTGCTCCCCCCATTGTATGCTACTTTTGATGCATAAAGATGTAAATATGTTTTTAAATATACCGAAGTAAAGGCACAGCAAAGGAAGAGTCTTTTTCAACTTTTTCTGTGTATTGCGACCTGGATTGGACAAGATGTGTTTGGGTTAGAGCATACCTCCACCGATTGTCTCTTACACCGACCCAGGAAATCAACAGCTACGCCCTGCCAGTGATCAGATACCCTACAGGAATAATCAGGTGGTAAAAAGAAAGAGATTCAGATCACAGATGTTGACCACCGGAGCATAACAGAAGTGGCTGATCTCAAGAAGTCCTACGGCTACGGCCAATTGGTGTTAATTATGAGGCACCTGAGATGATTGAACAAATAACTGCAGGGAAGCCTTCATGGAACGCCATAACCAAGTGGCTGGCATAGTGTACAGAAACATCTGTGCAGAGTATGGGCTGGAAACTCCAAGGTCTAATTTCCACCAAAGTTGGTGATGAATGAGCGCGTGAAGATCCTGTGGGACTTCCAGATACAGACCAAATATTGATGGTGAACCAAGCTGGCATTGTGGTGGAAGACAAAGGAAAGAGGAGAGCCGTGGTGATGGACGTGGAAATTCCAAACTATGGTAACATCAGGAGGGGGCCACAGAACGTCAAATAGATCAAAAACATTCAAAACACCCTTATTACTCTATAACATCCTTATCAAACTATTACACCCATATTGCACAATCACACTATGCATACACTATATACAAACAATGATCAAAAATATTGAAAACATAAAATAAAAAACATACACTTTTAAAGGAGTTGGAGGAAAAGTTGTTATTTTTTTCAATGAAAACATTAGAAGTACTTTATAGCACTCCAATACTTCAAATACTACAAGACTTGATAATTATATAAAGTAACTTACCACTTTAAAATATAAACTAAAAATATCAAAAACATTCAAAACATAAAATAAAAAACTAGATATTCAAAATGCATACAAAAAACATTATGAAAAAATAAGAGAAAGTAAAACAAATATTTCAAATACTGCAAATGATACGTACACCAAAAATAACGGGCTCCGAGAAAAAAGGTGCAACACAAAATTAATGAAAGCATTAAAAAGGTGAAATGTGCCGAAAGGAAGCTAAACACCACTGTTATTTGGGCAGTTGTATGATTTGATAATCCAACAATATTCTGAGATGTATAATTGTATAATGTGGTTTAATCTAGATCATGTGTAGAAATGTAACATAGACCATTGCAGTGGAAGTACTTTTTAAAGCTTGCATAACAAGAGTTGCGAGCCAAATTAGATAATAAAACAAAAGAAAAAATGATGTGTTTAAAATTAAATACATATTATTATAAAGTAAAGACAATAGGCCTAATACTTTTTGAAGGCATTGTATCTATCAAAATGTAGACTGCCCAAACCAGTCAGCAAACTGCCACAACCACTAAACCAATATCGTGAATTATGCACACTCTGACATTTTCAATTACTTTACATAATAAATATGTAATATATTCACACATTTAGATCTGATGCAAATAACAGAATAGGACTGAAAGTCAAATAAACTGCCCGATGACTACTGAACCTGTTTCTATGGAGCCCATGGAGCACCCTGACGAATGAGGGTTGCATCAAGGTAATCTCAGAAAGATGATCTCCCTCTGGTCACGCCTGCTCGTTAAAGGGCCCATATTATGCTTTTTGACATTTCTCTGCTTTAAAAAGTGCTATTTGACCTTCATACACTTTCCCAGAGTAGTTGTTTCATTGATTCTGTCAAGCTTTAGTTAGAGAGCGATCTTTCTCTTTCATTCTCAAGAGGCACAAAAACTTGCTGTTTCAAATCATGACGTGGCACAATCCGTGACGTCAAAAGCCCGCCTCCAAGAGGTGATTGACAGCGGGGAAAAACTGAACCAGCGAATCAGCACCGTCTATGGTCATGTCTGCAGCCTCTCTCCAAGTCCAGCGTCTGCTCCATAGATAGTAAATAAGCGTCTGTGCTTTTTTGTGTTAGCTTCATGTCAACTTGGAGAAAATGTGTTGTTGTAAATAATAATAATAATAATAATGCATCGGTTTTATATAGCGCTTTTCTGGACACTCAAAGACGCTTCACATGTGTCATTATTCATTCATTCCATACACGGTGGTGATAAACTACTACTGTAGCCACAGCTGCCCTGGGGCACACTGACAGAAGCGAGGCAACCAGTATGCGCCATCGGCCCCTCTGACCACCACCAACCATTCACACACACACACACCAGACTCATTCTAGGCAATGGGGGTGAAGTGTCTTGCCTAAGGACACAACGGCAGTTTGGCACTTTACAGCCGCAGCCGCCCCACTGTGGTTGGTGTTCCCAGAGGTTAAGTGTCTTGCCAAGGACACAACGACAGTAGTCAGTGGGAGTCGATGGTGAAAGTCTTGAGCGGGTCTTGAACCCATGACCTTCTGGCTCAAAGGCCAAGACTCTACCAACTGAGCTACTGCCACCCAGTCCCAGTAAATATGGGACAACAGCAGTTGGCTGAAGACGGCGAATGGGGATCGACTTTGTTCACGGGGATCTGCCTTGAATCCGCAAGTCTGAACTCCATAAAAAAACTTGCAGATGTTTCTTTGCGAGTGATGGTGACATCACCAAAGACTGTACCAGGACTACAGTTACCTTGAAACGGGATCTACTCAAAAGCTGATCTGGGGACCTTTTTTTTCCATCATATAAGACGCTAACAGGAGCCTCGGTCTGTGAGTACAATGCAACAAACTCGCCGTATATCACTGTGTCAACTAAATAATTAGTTTGAGGACATAGGGCTCTCTGTGACGGATTGCCATTGTTAGATACATTTGTTCTGAGGTCTGAAATGACTGTAAAAGCTGTACAGTTAGCTTTAGTTTACCTCAAACTTAGCGTGATGCTATGTAACCGAGCGGGCGGGGGGAGGTGGGCTCAGATCTCAAAGCCTGTGATAGGAGATGGGAATACCATGTGCAACAGTGAACAGCTGGGGTTCTAAAGTGCGAACTCTTGTTGTGTCTTTAGACAAGACACACCACCCTCAGTGCCCTTAGAAAAAGGTCTGGTTGAGTGTTGGACAGATGGTGCAGCCTAACTTCAGTCAGACTGCCCAGGGCAGCTGTGGCTACATAATCGCTGACTACCACCGTGTATTACATTTACGTTTGAAGGAAAAAAAACAGGTTTCCTCCATGTAAATGATTAGGTTAACAGGTTGACCTTAACAGGATGCGTTGTGTTTGAGTCAGTCAGATGACTATGATAAAGAACAGGATCAGACTTCAATCAAGAAGAATGAAAACACATTATGCTGGTGTGCAAGTAGTTTAGGCAATAGCCAAATTAGGCTATAGGTGACTGTCGAGACTACAATGATTACAGCCTTCACTAAAAACAGCATGACCTGGCTAATCTCACTCAACATACTCAAACATGTAAAGACAGAGACTCGTCTGCATTCCACTGAGAATCAGGATTGGAACTCTGAAGCTGAGCAGCAGACTGTCTGTGTGTGAACCACAGAGTCCTCCTCACAGACAAAGTGTCCTTTCTCAGATTCCTCCAGCTCCATCCATGAGGTGTGAGAAAAATGTGTAATGTGGAGTACGGTGAAGGACTTGTTCATGTGTAATATAATATTATTTTTATATATATATATATATATATATATATATATATATATATATATATATATATATATATATATATATATATATTCTGGACTGCATTCACCTGCTAGCTGCAGAAACCACAAGCTTTGAGAAATGGATCTGAGAAAACCATTCACAAACCCAAGCAATCGTTCACATTAACAGTGCTCCTTCAGCACGATGTATACTAAGATGGCAGGAGTAAAATGAGCACAATTTTAGGAATACACGTGACTTTGGCCACACTTCCACTTGAGTTAATCTTAATTCCTCCGCGTAGCGCGTGTGTAAACCCAAAAAGACGGCCACCTCACCTGAATCTGAGTAGCGTGGCCTGGCGAGATCTCGGAAGTAGTATGTGAAATCCAGGCAGTTCTCATTCGGCACTTCGCCCCTAGAACAAAGGTCTGAGAGGAGTTCAAGTGCTTTTCGACAAATCTCGTCATCTCTGTCTGCAGGCATCTCCCTCCACCAGCATCCTTAAGAATGACGAGTATCGTGATTTACTAGCGCGTCCCCTTTACAGCTTATGATTACAATACTACGCTGGCATGGAGCACTTATCCAGTGGCACGCCTACCGAGGCAACGCAAGTCACAACGCTACAGTGAATACCACAGATTTTAAAAGTCCTTCATAAAACAAACAGCCGACGGATAGAATAGAATGACTTAATTTTGCGTTGTTGCAGCCGGGTCACTCCTTTGGTCCTGCCAAGCCACCGGTTGAATCCACGCGTGGTCACTGCGGCGTCGTGCGCTTTCCATGGTCCTGAAGAGTGCGCGCGCACGCAGTGCAAAGACGGACTTTCGCTGGTGATCGATCCTCTCTCTCTCTCTCTCTCTCTCTCTCTCTCTCTCTCTCTCTCTCTCTCTCTCTCTCTCTCTCTCTCTCTCTCTCTCTCTCTCTATCTATCTCTCTCCCTCTCTCTCTCTCTCTCTGGTCGCGCGCATTCAAGTGGTCTACCTGTGAAGGAAAGTTGATGAGGCTACAGCACACAGACGGATGCAAGGGACGCCCAAATACGCATAGCTAATTCTGCTGTGATTTTACGTGGGTGCAATTGTACGTGGGTGCAAGCGACCAATGAGTGTTTGACGGTTCTACTTTGCACCTGAACTGCTCTCAAACTGAAAAGCTCATGATAGAGGGCAGGGAACTTTTTTGATGCACAAAAATGATAATGACATTTTATAAGGGTTTCTTATTAATTCTTTATTGCTGATACTTATGGGGTCAAGCCAGCATACTTTTGTACGGCCTGCTTTAACCCCCACAGTGTGACTTTTGGTCAAACAATATACAATATAAAAGTAAAAAATGTTATTCATTTGGATAATTTTAACATGCATCCATGTGAGCATCTCCACAAACCTGACTTGGCTGGAGGTGGGTCTCTTCCTGCTTGTTTCCATGGAAATGATGGAAATGCTATGATCTTCCTCTCTGTAGTAAAGTCGTATCTCTCTTCATGAAGAATAGGCTTTAACTTGAACCACTTCAACGACAGAGAATCTCCAGAAAATTACAGTGTTGCCTGTTTGCAAAAAACCATTGGTAAATAGTGTGGGTTTTTGAAAAATGCATTATTTGGTTTATGACGTCAGATGAAGTTATGATGCAGATGAATCTACAGCACAATTAATTCTGAGTACAGTAAATGTATTTTTCCAAGAGCCTTTATACGCATGGAGCCAAACTGTTTCACACACTCAGCTTTGTTGGTGTCCATGGCAACAGATAAAAGACAGAAGGCCCCTTCACCCATTTTCTTCAACTCTTCTTCTGTCAGCCGCTCTTCTCGGCACAATCTTCACACACGCCCATGAGCATTTTCCCTTTAATTATTTGAACCTGTCTGCACTGGGATATGCACTCCAATTAAAGGTTGGTTGCCACTTTATTACAGCAACTTCTTCTTTTTTCTTTTATATATTTTTATGATTATCATGCACATATTTCATTCATTCTGTGTCAAAACAAGATAGATAGATACTTTATTGATCCACGTAGGAGAAATTCAGGTGTCCAATAGCAACAGATCAAATAAATAGATAATTCTAAAAATAGCTTTTACAATATTATACAAATGCAACAGCACTTTAGGTCCCAGTAGCAGAGGTGGTGTAGCTGCTGGATGGAGCAGGACAGGTCACAGCAGCAGAGATGGTGGAACATCTGCTGGGTGAAGTGGGACGGGTCACAGCAGCAGAGGTGGAGTAACCGCTTGGTTCGGACCATTTTCTCTGCTCTTGTCCAAAGTGCTGAATGCTTTGTTAGCATTTTTCAAAAAGTTGGCCTTCCTCCAGTGGATATTCACCTGATCCGCTTGTTTTGGACCATGAATCCTCTCTGCTCTGGTCTGGACCAGTGCAAAGCCATGAACACTGTACTGCAGCAACATCTCAAGTAGAAAGAAGCAAGAAAAATGACAAGCACAAAAAAACAACTAATTGGGACTTGCTGCAGTTTCCAAAAGCAATGCAACATATGAGCAGATTGGCACGCACTGGTCAGTATTGGCACAAAACAGGAGCAATCGGGACTGACGGTGATGCAGATGGGCAATTAAAGCCAGTCCAGGATCCAGTGATGAATTGAAGCTGAAATTCATGTTAAAGGACACATCTTATGAAAACTATAATATCAGGACTTTCTGGCACAAACATGTAACTCCGCCTCCACTGTCTCAGTCCTGTTATAGTATGATGTCACTGTACCCCTATGACATCATGCTCAGAGCAGTTTTCAGCATTTTATAACAAAAGTATTGCCCATAATTTTTTTGGGATATTTTCATGCAAAAAGATAATCTTTAAAAAATAAAAATAAATACTGGCTTTGTTTGCAGCCAGTAATTTTGATGAAATAAAACATTTCTCCTCCACGCTATTCTGAGTGTGCATAATTTACAAAATTGTTTTTTTGGTAAAATATGATGCTGCTGATGGTTTGTCAACTGGTTTTATTTTATATGTGTTTAATTGAAAACCAATCAGCATCTTACTTTTTTTTTTTATCTAACCAAATGAATCAGATTCAAATAATAACATAGCTCAGAATGTAGTTGGATTATCAAGTCTGCCCATATGTTAGTGATGTTTAGCTTCTCAGACGACCATTTCTTAAAGATGTTCTGTGAATAGAATCAGAACAAACAGTGTGTCTTTGATGTGACTCTCAGAAGTCCCATCAGAGGCTGACGGGACAGATGGCGATAAGGAAGAATGATCACAGATAAGCCACAAATGACTGTGCAAATGTATCCAGGGCCCAACCAAATCACAAGTAAAGCAATCCAGCTACGACGGAGAAACAGAGACAGTTTTGATGCATATGTCTTCAAAAGAAGAAGACTACTATTATTTGACACATTAGTCCAGTCTGGTAAAGGGAAAGACATTTCGCAGATACAGACTGCCAGGCTATTTTTACATTTTACGTTTTAAAGTAATAGAAAGTAGGTCCACACACTGAAGTGACTACATATTAAAAACATGATGCTTTTCAACCTGGAGGACAAAGGATTCAACACACTAAACATTTGCCGATCAATACCAACCATTAATATTCTCAGATGAACAATTTAGTCAAGTTCAGTCAAGTGGAGAGCCACAGACCTCTTCATAATATCCCAAGTGTGTGGGAAGTTCTAAAAATAGTACCACACCGTTTTCTGCAGCCAGAGAAAATTGAATTAAATAGAATTTGATTGTAGATATCACTCCCTCTGTCTTATGTTTAAAATTCCATTAAGAAGCAGATAGGCATGAAATGGTGTACTTAGATTCACAGTTTCAAGTAGTTCCCTTCATCTTATCTTACACAGGTTTGATTATGTGACTGAGGATCTGATTAACTTGTGTTCTTCCAGGCACAGTGTGGGCACGCGTGTCTTTATCACATGAAACGTTGTCAAAGGGACCTGGTTCTGTGTGCACTGTATAATTCACATTTGAATCCTACATAAAAAAAGATTACACAGGGGACCTCGTTCAGCCTTTCAACCAGGACTTCAATAGGGCTGAGAATGAAGTCAATGTATACAATAAAAGATTGATGTGATAACAGTTTGTGATAGTCTGCATTCAGATAGTGTTTTGAATCGCCTCCAAAATAAAATCATCATGTCACTGGGCCATTGCACATGTTTTGTTATATCTAAAATCATCTAATGTTGTTCACAGACAAGCAATCAATCAAATAAACACACAAACACCAGTGATCGCTTTACCTCCTGGACAGAGGGAATAATGAAAATCCTATATAAGGGATGCATAGTGTTTGAGTAACGGCTGAGTCCAGGTGAGAGCAGCAGGCAGCCGCTGTAGGAGGGGTGTTGCTCTGTGAATATAGCTGTTGCCTTGAGGCGGGAGCACCCATGAAGATAACACCACCTGCTGAACCTGTAGAGCCCAGTGGGAGTGACACTATAAATGACTTTGGTGGAAACACTCGTACTAGTATATATTCAGCTGGGTGTTATAGTGTCTTCTTCAGGGAAACTGGTTTACAAACCAGAAAAGCAAAGAACACAGAGCTCTGCTGGAGGCAAACAACATTCACATTCCTGCTTAATAAAACATATACAGTACATGCAATAAAAACGACAACAGAGATACCAGCAGTTTTCTCTCTGATGGAGGAAATGTTTATGATTTCATTGTATTTTGATTAATGCTGAGCAGAGGTGAATCCCGATGGTTTGGACCATAGAAAAGTAGGTAAAATAACATGAAGGCCGACACGTGTGGCTATGGTTTGTTGATTATATTTGAGCTGGGCATTTTTACCTAAAGCCAATGGTGAAGAGGATCCATAGCACACTCAGCCTTCTCATCAGCAGCTGGTCTAAGTGAGATGACTGTGTCAGCGGTCTCAAGAGAACAAGTGTACTGTATGTGTGAAAGCATGGAGTCATCGGTGCCTTTGTGTTAATGTGTATACTTACACGCACTGTATAATGCATGTTTCTGTGGGGTATACCAGGGGACATTAACCCATCTTCTCACTGCCCCTTTAGTGGTGTGTGTCAGTAATAATTTATCAAATGGAAAATGTTTGTGTTGAATGTATTGAATGCCCTGGGGTTGTATGCAAGATAAAAAACCATGGGAAAGCCCACAGTAAACATATTTATGCGTAGAATTTGAAATATTTGTTTGCCCTTTCTTTATTTCATTTATACATTTATGCAGACACCAAAATGTAGCATAATTTTGTTCAATTTCATATCTCCAGCATCACCCTTCCTATCAGTTTGGAGATCTTAAATGAAAATCACCGGGGCATGAGTTCAACTCAGCAGAAGCTTTTTGCCAAACCACCATCACCACCACCACCATCACCAGCAGCAGCAACAGCAGCAGCAGCAACAGCAGCAGCAGCAACAGCAGCAGCAGCAACAGCAGCAGCAGCAGCAGCAACAGCAGCAGCAGCAGCAGTAGCATATCTGGAAAGCT